TGAGGTGGATTTTACTTTACCGTTGATAGCTTTGTACTTAGTGTTCATGTCGGGGCATGGCGCAAGCGTGTTTGAGGTACGGAATTGGAGGTTTAGTTAGTTCGTAGTTAGTGGTATCCAGGATGCGACAACCTGGGGGCTCAGCCATGTGGCTCGTCATATGCCAGTGTTGGCAGTACAAGTTTAAATAAAATTAGATTGAATTCTAAGTACTTTCCCTACTTATTATTATAATGAATATAAAACACCTTTATGCTCTTTATCATTATCCCTATCTTTATTACTACTACTATAAGAATACTCTTTAACAAGGAGAGTTAGAAAAAGCTTACGATAGACGTTCTCGATAGAAGACAAAGGTATTGTACTATGGGTAATGTAGGCAGAGGCCTAGTGCTATCATAAGGCAAGAAGTAGAAAGAAGAAGAGAAGTATTGTTCTCCATCACCAAGAACTGGCCATCCAAAAGGGGATTGTTATACTAGGCAGGAATGTATAAGGAAAAGCTCTACCTGTAAACTACAGCAAACTACAAAGGAAAGTAACTACAACCCACCAAACTGCCAAAATACTGTTTATAAAAAACTACCCCCAAAGTGGACAGCCGGCGAGGAGCCCTATGACTAGACACCCCTAACCAGCTATGCCATAGATGTAGTGCATTACAATAACCTACAAATCAAGAACAGAGGCTACAGTGCTGGGCCCAAGAAGTAGATTGTTAGCAGAAAGAATGCCGCCTAGCTGTATAATGCCTGCAAAAGATTGACCACAGGCAGGCAGCAGGCTAAAATCTTGGAACACCGCACAGCAGAGGAAGAAGGTAGTAGGATACTAGCCAAAGGAGGGTAGGCAGAAGGGTGCATGCTAATACAATTGAAGTGGAGAGGTGGAGGAAGGACCTAAGGTCCTAGAGTAAACCCGACTATAGAAACTAAACTATTTCCATATTACCACGTCTCTCATGTAGTCCCTTGTTCTGGGAGAGATAGAGTCACTTAGTAGAAGAGATCCTACATGCAGAAAGGAATTAAAAGAGCGGGGGTAAGAAGGTGACCGTAACTTGGACCAAACTACTAGGCAGATGTGATCAAATCTCATCACAAAACAGACCCTAAAGTTACTAGCTAAGGCATTTCTCAACAGGGGTCATACAAATAGAGAAAAAGACTTCCACCACTACCAGTACCAACCGGAAGTGAAGAGAGGAAGTCAAACATGCTAAAGCTAAGTGAGCCCTGCAAGCAGGACAAGACTACTGAGCAAGGCCCAGATAGCTCCCCTATCAAATGAACAGAGAATATGACAGGCGAAGGCGGAAGAGGCTGTTGAAGAGAAACTATACCCCTAGGCAGGAACTATCAAAGAGGTAGCAGGAAGTGGAGGGGTCCACAATAGTTGACGTGGTATTAAAATACTATATGGGAGAAAAATAAGAGCGATAGAGCATGGTATATTAGAGGTCACTAGATCTCGCTATTTATACAGACACGTCACCCAACCCGTAACACTCTGTGACTTATACTTTCACATCACCATATCCTATGGCTCCTAATCATGAGTTATTTGAGATCTTCAGCTGACTCATATGAGCCAACTGCGTAACCTACCTGTTAGGTGGAAACAGCCCAATAGACTTTAGAGTTGTCTAAGCTAATCAAGATTTTTTTCTTTAGACAGAGATTATCTTAGAAGGCTCAAATTCACTCGTTTTATTTATGACTACTAAGATTAAAGTAGAATAGGTAAAGTAGAGTAGAGTCATTAAAACAATATTATATTATTAAGATCTCTTCTCCGTTGCTTGATGATATCTAAAAGCTTGGGAGGCACTTCAATATTTATATTTCACGTCTGAGTGTTTGTGGACTACATCTATCTATAATACAACTACGTACCTCTCTGATTATAACTCGCAACGTCAGGTATTCTTCAAAGGTGTGAACACCTAGAGATCCTGAAAATCACTACACCCTCATTAGTAATTACAATATTGCTAACTAGTAGCTATACTGTTCCTAATAGTGATTATCCAATTATTGGAGTCTTTAAACTTATGCCCTAGTTCTCATGTTGAACAGGGATGGCCCCAATTGTCTCCGTCCTTGATGAAATCATCAGCTTCATCTACAGGTTATATCTGCGGAGGTAGTCGCAATTGCAATCTTCCTAAATCATCTGACTTTGAACCTCCATAACTCCATATTCAACTGACAGATTTCTTGCAAAAGACTTCGTACTAACCTGCAAGAAGCTATTTTACCGGATTAACAGATAATCCCTCGGTTGGCAACCCTTGGTTGCTTTAAGTAACAGGATTTGAATTGCTATTCTAGTATTGGGAATCATTCCTGCAACTACAGCGTATTGCTGAACCCAGTTGTAACACTCTATGAAGCCCCTTAGCTTCTATGGTGGTGTTCCTTGGAGTTCTAGACTCTTCTGGTTATTATAAGGTAGGTGCAAATGTAATGGTTTCTCATTGAGATCCTTTACCATTCAATATCATCTCTTTATGTAAAAACATTCCGTTACCTACAGCTCATGCCAATGACATCACCTCTTTGAAGCCTAGTAACTCTTTGGGTAGTTGACGGATTCACTCCATTCTACTTCCCAGACTTAGCCGATGGTCCCCTCACATATATCCCGCGAACAGGACTCAGTCAGACAAACAGCAGCAATATATACTGTGTTATTCCCATATCTTCAATTCTGTAACATTCTAGTCACCAGATGCAACTGAGATTGATATGTATGATGATATACAAGTATTAGGAATATCAGGATCCAATAACTAGGAGTCACCCTAAGTAGGGTAACCCCATCCGAAATCAGAATCTCTGATCTCCAACACTGCCATCTGGCCCCCTGACAGGGCCCACACATTATCATACATATCAATCTTAATTGCATCCTGTGACTATAATACCACAGATTTGAAGGTGTCAGAATAACACCGTATATATTGCCACCGTCCCTCTGACTGGATCCCGTTCACAGGATATGTGAGAGGAGACCTTCAGCTAGGTCTGAGAGGTGGAACAGGATAAATCCATCAACTACTCAGAAGATTACTAGGCTTTAAAGATATGATACCTTTGGTATGCACCGTAGGTAACAGGATGATTTTGCATAAAGAGGTGGTATTGAATGGTAAAGAATGTCAATAAGAGACCAATAAATTCACATCCATCCTACAATATCTGAAAGAGTTTAGAACTCCGAGAAAGACTACCATAGAAGCCATTGGACTTCACGGAATGTTACAACTAGGTTTCGGAACACCTTGTAGTTATGGGGATAACTTTCAATACTACAATAGTGATTAAAATCCTATTACCCAGAGCAACCAAGGGTTGCCGACCAAGGGAATATCTGTCAATCCAGTGGAATAGCTTTCTGTGAATTAGTAGGAAGTCTTCTGGAAGACATCTATTGGTTGGGTAAGGAGTTATGGGAGTTTAAAGTCAGGCAACCCGAAAAAAGGTTGCGATTACAACTACCTTCACAGATACAACCCGCAGATGAAACTAATCATTTCATCAATGACAGAGATAATTGGAGCCAACTCAGTTTGACTTGAGAACTAGGCCACAAGTCTAAGGACTCTAAGGATCGGATAACTACTATTGAGAACAGTATGGTTCTGAGTTAGTTATATTGTAATTGCCAAAAAGGGTGTGGTGATTTTCAGGGTCTCCAGGTGTTCACATCTTTCAAGAATACCCAACATTGCCGGTTATAATCAGAAAGGTACATAGTTGTATGATAAATAAAAGTAGTCCGCGAACACTCAGAGGCGGAATATAAATATCAAAGTGCCTCCTAAGCTTTAGACATCATCAAGCAACGGAGAAGAGATCTTAACAATATAATATTGTTTTACAATTCTATTTTACTTTACAGAATTTATTTCGCTCTTAGTAGTCATAAATGAAATGAGCAAACTCAAGCCTTCCTAGACAATCTCTGTCTACAGAAATGAATCTTAATTGGCCTAGACAATTCTGAAGTCTATCAGATTGTCTCCGCCTAAAAGCGGGCCCCATAAGGGGGCAGGAGCGGGGTGTTGGAGATCAGGGATTCAGAATCCAAGTGGAGTTACACTACTTAGGATAATTCCTATGTATTAGATCTCAGTATTCCTAATACTACCTAAACCAGTCATAAACCTAATAATAGGTCATGTGCACTAAGTACGTCACATGCATAAAACTTGTGACTCATAAGTATTAGTCATACGTAAAAGTCATATCATAAGACTCACAACCATGAGTTATCACATAACAATAAACACCTATGACTTGCAAGGGCGAGTCATCTGAAAACCTTTGTTCAAGTTCCTCTTTGCCAATCTGCCTTGTCACAATCCAGTTTGTGACAGCAAGCCACCTGTCAACTATTGTTCCTAGGAATATGATTAACACCTAGCTAATATGTTATAATAACAAGATTCGAAACTAAGAGGAAGATTACACTTTTAGTCTTGTCTAATAAGACTTAGTACAATATATACAAAGCGTGTATTGTATATTGCAGGAATATAAGATATGAGAGATATTATAAGTAATCCTAGCACTTGTATCAGGAGATATTACTACTTATATTGTCATTTAAGGATATCACAGCACCTATAAGTGGCCCTGTAGTGCCCACTACATTGGTGTCGGGATAGAATGAGTAACTCATAACGCGGAGCAGGTGGTGACGGTTTGTAATATCATTGAAGATTTGAGGACCAGTGCTACTATCCATAAGGCACTTCTAGATGGGATATGATAAGTAAAGATAAGATGGCAAGCACCGATCAACAAGGAATCCAAGCTTCAAGAAATCACAAACATCTCATCAGTGAAAGTCAATGCCACCTCGCGAATGATATCGCTGCTGTACCAAATAGCCTCTAAACCCCACCTGTAGTCATCCAATTAGTAAAAACTCTACGGCGTTCTCATTCCCGCTTATCATACCGCAACACCGGCCGGGTCCCCGCCTAACTTTCTCACGACCCACAAAACCTTCTTCTCGGACACTCATTCATTCGTCTCACTGGCGAACGCAATGGCTGCGCCTAGATCAATCACACGCATTCTTAAATCACTCCCGTATAACGCCCCTCATTCCCCCGGCCCCCGGCAATCCTTACAGAAGCTAATTGGAGGAAGCACAACCAGGAACGCCTGCAGCCAGCATCGCCGCCGCAGAGTCTCATCGCTTCCTGCGGAGGTGCTTGCCAAACGGTATAGCAGTAATGTATAAACCTATCGCTAGTATTCCCAAATCACCTCACACTAAACTACCCAGACAGCAGCAGTCGTCGCCGCGGCCGCATCTCCATCCACTGAGCAAACAACCTCCTCTTCCTCAGCTGTCGCTAGCGGTGGAAGCAGTGGTATCATTAACAAACAAGTACAAACATCAGACCTCCCGCTCAAAACATATAACGTTACGAAGGCAGATGCGAGGCCGGAATTGAGCGAGCATCATAAAATCACGTTCGACGAGAAGAAGACGCTGGTGCCTTGGGAGGAAGGAAAGACTTCGCATTTGTAAGGCTACCATTCTTTTTTTTGGGGGGGTGGGGGTGTTGCATGGAACATGTAATTGAGGGGAAACTGATTTCGGAGGTTATTAGTCAACATGTTTGGATGAGAGACCATTGTCAGTGCAGTGAATGCTTTCATCCAGAGACTAAGCAGAGGGTGTTGAATACTTTTTCTGTGAGTTTGCTTTCCGGCGAGGGATTGGGGGAACCGCTAACCTAGTTGGCGAAATACCTAGATTCCAAAGAATATTCAGCCGGATGTGGTGGAGGCGGAGGACAAGGGAATGAGGATTAAATGTGAGTTTCCCTGCTACATGTGGGGGAGTAGACACCGGGGTTTTGAGTAACAGGTTTTGTTTGCCAAAGGGAAGAACGACGGTCATGAGAGCTTTTATAACTGGGAGTGGCTGCATTTACACTCTTATAATCCGAGATTGGAACGATACATTTCTCCCCAGTAGGATCCCCATAATTCGCAAACACACAAGCCTTGAACGGGCGCTGAATGCTAGTCTAGGTTCAAATTTTGGGGATCAGAGATTGCCGAAGGGCTGCCGGAGGTTGAGTATGAGGCTGTGATGGAGTCTGATGCTGGGGTCGGTGAATGGACAAGAAAGATTGTAGGTGGCCCGAAATTCCCCCTGCTAAGCTTCGCTCTCCGGTATTGACTCAGTGGCAATAGCGTAAATATGGGTTCTGTTATGTGAACGGCGTTCCTGTAACGCCCGAAGCCACAAAGGAGCTTGTTGAACGAATAGCTCATATAAAACATACCCACTATGGTAACAAAGTCCTCACCTTGCCCCTAGAGCTTGTAGCCCGAAAGAAATAATATCGTGCTAACTAGCATATATGCGCTCAGGTGGGCTCTGGGACTTTACCTCCGACCTCTCCAAGAAAGACACGGCCTACACCACCCTAGCGCTGGGTGTTCACACAGACACGACCTACTTCTCAAACCCCGCCAGCCTCCAGCTCTTCCACCTCCTCTCCCACACCGACGGCTCCGGCGGACAATCAATATTAGTCGACGGTTTCCGAGCCGCCAAAATACTCCGCGAGGAGGACCCAACAGCATACCGCGTTCTCTCAAACGTTCGTATTCCTTCACATAGCTCGGGGAATCGCGGCTCGAGCATACAACCCTATGCGCCGTTTCCAGTATTCAACCACCATCCCGTTAACGGGGAGTTGATTTTGATTCGGTGGAATAACGATGATAGAGCTACCATGGATAGATGGGATGATCCGGCGGATGTGGACAGGTTTTACGAGGCTGCTAGAGCTTGGAATGATGTGCTTAAGCGTCGGGAGAGCGAGTACTGGGAGCAGCTTGTCCCCGGGAGACCGCTTATCCTCGATAATTGGAGGGTGCTGCATGGTAGGGCTGCGTTCGACGGGAAAAGGAGGCTGTGTGGGGCGTACATCTCCCGAGACGACTTCATGAGCAGGTTCGTGATGTCTAATTCCAAGAGGGAGGATGTGCTGAAGGCTCTTTGAGCCAGGCTTCATCTCGCCGGGTACTTTTGGGAGTCACCTTTCATGTTGTATATAGCTTTCAGTATATATATGGAAGGCTTTTTTTACGGCCACATAATATTTCCATCACAGGTAAGGAGCAATTATAGTAGAGCGTAGAGCATATGGCCACCTCGGCAAACGCATCACATTATCTTCGTGAAAAAAGGTGAAAACCCCGCTAGTATTACAGCCCTTCTACTACATCACTTTCTCTCCGACATCGTCCCGAACTTAAATAGGCTTGATCTATAAGAATCACCACCGCAGTTAGCACCCTCACTACCTTAACCAGCCCCACAAGGACAACCAAATACCTTAAAGTGCAGACTGATCAACGAGAACACCAAGGCTTTCAGATCCTGAACAAGGTAGTAGAAAACACGTAACCCCTCAGGATCAGCACTTTCCTGGACGTCAACAAGCGATCCTATCTTCGCAGTTTCGAACGAGATATGTTCGTTGCCCAGACGAATCTCCAACTCCTGACGCCCGTCCTTATTCTTTTGCGGCCATTTACTATCGTCTTCCCTAAACAATACCAAAGAGGGAAGGAAAGAAAAGAATAATTGTCAGCAAACGCGAGAGAGAGAGAATTGCTTGGGGTATACACACTTCATGATCTCACTCTCCTTGATAATCCTCTTAATTTCCTTAATCATCAAAGAGCTCACGCACACTACCAAACGCCCCACACCGTACGTCAGTGCCTGTCCAGAAAAGTGCTGCTGTTGCTGCATCTGCTGACGCTGCTTTTGAAGAGGGGAGAATCGGGGAGAACTTGCTCTCTTTCCGGATCAACGAGTCGTTACGGTAGTTTGAGTTGTTAGCGTAACGAGCCGTTGCGCTCCTACCATCGCCGAGGACTCGGAAGTCGAATTCTGGGAGGGGGGGTAGCGGGCCGTATGTTAGCTCTCATAAGTTAATTAAATGGGAGGAAGGTTGTGATTATTCCTGTGGTTGTTGTTACTGTACCTAGGAATTCATGACCGAAGCGACCGCTATGGCCGCTATAGTAACGGAGGTAGAATTGTTCGTTGTTTGCCGCCATTATTGGTGTAGAATGACTTATTGATGTTGGTGACGATTGATGGTGGACTCGAAATGGGTAGGTAAGGCCGTTTATGTTTGATACGCCGCGTGGTGGTGCCAAGATGTAAGTTAATTTGTCGTTGATCTCTCGGAATGTTCCGTGGGAATGTGGCGGTGGTAGTGGCTAGTGGGGGAATATGAGAGAGAGCTTGGGGTTTCTTCGATCGAGAGTACAGCATCGGTATGTGCCGTCTCTTAGTGGGGGGGTTTTCCTACTTGTGTTTGGGGGGGGGACTCGAAACCTGAGAGTGGGAGAACAACGGTCATGATCAATGCGATGAAGGAGAATTAACTGGTCCATGAGGTGTACTATGCTCGTAATATGCAGGCTCCCAAGATCGCCCCCCGCGTCCTTAACACTCTATCGGTACTTCTTGGGATACTGTGGTATTATAGGTGTAATGCTTAAGTATCGATGGGCTGCGGTACCGGGGTTTTCAGATCTAAGTACCGCGGGATATGATCGGTGTGTTAGAGAATTTGGGTGAATGAGGGTTAGACACGTCCGCTGTCACGGTAAGTCACTCGCTATTTGGTTTCAAGCCTGCCAGCCATTGTGTTGGGGAAGGCTACCGAAATGGTAGGCGACAGAACTTAGATCCAGGTGTCAAGCTTTGACACCACCATAGAATTGGATTTTGCTTAAAACCTTGCCATTGATTCACTTGATATTCCTTGCCCGCCATTGAACTTGAAGTTCTCCTGAAGGTTGCAATTTTATTGTGACCATTGAACTGGGTGCCTTTGTATCTTATGGCCCGGGTTCCTGATTCGGTATCATTGATGTAAAGTACCGGTAAAGAATCTGTGGGTCCCTCGTAGCAGAGCCTCTTTGTTCTAGGCCTCGGAAGAGAACAGTTTGTCACACCAAGCACGGTGCGCGTATCATCACCAAAATCCTTCCCTCGTCAACTACCACCACCACACAGCTTCACTAAGAAAGAACACCTTCTTTATCCTCCGCGTTCCTTGGCTACTCTCCTATATACCGACGGAAATCGCATAATTAATTATACATTTTGTTGCGCACCTTATCTTCTCCGCTTGCATGACCGTTCCCCAAAGGTCCGGTTGTCGTCGTCGTTTTCCCTCTAACCCCAACCCCTCCACCACCCCCATCACACACCTCGGGCACCCTTACCCAGAAATGTCGGAAAGACAGAACCTGGAGTCCCAGTGGATCTTCACTGAGGAAGAGCTTTTGCGCACCCCCTCCGTTCTGGATGGTATCTCGCCAGAGTTGGAGCGGGAACAGCGGGGGAAGGGATGCAATTTTATATTGCAAATGGGGATCCAGCTAAAACTTCCGCAACTAACACTGGCCACAGCGTCAGTGTTTTTGCATAGGTTTTATATGCAGAATTCTCTCAAGAAACATCATTATTATGTTCGTCTTCCTATTTCCTATCTCCCATGGTTGTTCGCTGTACTGTTTGCTAGGGAGCCTCGCTAACCTCTGTTATTTCCCTAGGAAACCGCCGCTACAGCCCTATTCGTAGCGACTAAGGTCGAAGAGAACATGCGAAAGTTCGGCGAACTTGTTGCTGCTTGTGTACGAGCCGCTCAGAAAAACCACGCCCTTGAAGTACACCGGGACGATAAAGAATTCTGGAAATGGAAGGATTGCATCTTGACCAAAGAAGACTACCTCCTTGAATCCATTTGCTTCGACCTCTCTGTCGAAGCCCCATACAACCTCCTCCTGCAATACACCAATAAGCTAGGCGTCCAGACACGGCAACTCATCCGCACGGCCTGGACCTTCATAAACGACTCAACTCTTACAATGTTGTGCCTACTCTACCCCAGCAAGACTATTGCAGCTGCCGCGCTATATTGTGCCGCAAAGCATTGTGGAATAGAATTCCCGGATCAGGACGGAAAGGCTTGGTGGGATGTGATTGGCGTGTCAATCAAGGATATCAAGAGAGCATGCAACTACATGGCGATGGTTTACGAGTGAGTATAGAAAAGAATTCCTAGAACTAAATCCCTTTCCAGGATTTCTTCTTTCTTATCCTTTATTGTTTCAGCGAGCCTCCGGATGGAACTAATGTAGGTACAACGTTCAGGAAAAACCCTCTCCGAGGCGAGGACGGCGTTCGATACGTCGCTACCCCAGAAAATGGAGCTGAAACCACTCGGACAAGAGTCCTTGCCGTCAATAATTCGAGCCCCCCGGCTGAGAGTGTTTCTCGAAGTAGGACCGAGAGCAGATCTGGCAGTGAGGGTGGGAAAAGAATGAGGGATCAAAGCAGAACCGACGAGGAAATATCTGAAGAGGCTGTAAAGAAGAAGCTCAAGCTTCATGAAGAAGCTGTCGGAAATGGGGTTGAGGTGCCTGAAAATAACTCTTCAATGAGGGGGAAAGAGAAGGCACCGCCGCCCCCACCACCCCCTGAGAAACCTGAGAGTGGTGAGCTCGAAGAAGGAGAAGTGGATGACTAGGTGTATTATGACCCCTCCCTCCCACCCCCTATCTATATATCTCTCAGGAAGAGTGAGAGGATGTGTGGGTTGACTTTGCTCTTTCATGGCTTCCTCCTATCCATCCCTATCATACTTTGCTATCCACCCCTTCCTTTATACAATTCTCTTCTCTTTTGTCTCCCTTCCGCGTCCACCTCTTTGGTGTACCCCCCCCTTCTCTCGTAGAATGGACTACCTCTGCACACCCGCCTACACAAACAGGAAAAAACGCGAAGCTTGACTACCAAAAAAAAAATAAACATATCCGCTCGTAATCCTTTACCCCCGGCTCGGTTGTAATACTTTATTAATCGGTGATTGGAGTTTTCCTTTTCCTCTTCTCCAACCATTCAGTCTCCTTGTTCTCACTCACTCTATTTCCATTCTCCTTATACTTGCTTTATTCGTTCCGGTGATGGGAGGAGTGGTCTTTTCGTTCTTCCTTTCCTATCATGTGTATTTATTATGGACGGGTTGGAGTTGGAGTTTTTTCCTTTGGTTCGTTGGACGGCTCGATTTGCTGATGGAGGTAGCGGGGGGCGGGGGAAGTTTAGCATAGCTTAGCCTATGACAGGTGGTAATTGATGTTCCGTTGTTTGTATTATGGGTGAGAAGACTTTATCTGCTGTTTCGTGGTTGCTAATATGGGAGGCTAGTAAGGGTGGGATTTGAGGAGGAGTTCCAGCAAGTGCCTTGTGGAGTGGTTTGCATGACTTAGTGAATGTAAATAGGTATTATCTGCATCTCTAGCACCTGCTTCGAGCCAATTTGGAAACAAATTGTTGTTGCTATGGTATGGATCGAAAAGTTGGGGGTGCTAGAGGTAAATACGGGGTCTGGCTGTGATCATACCTGCTCACTCGGTATAAACCTGTCTAGGTATTAAACTAGTGTCATACCCTATTACTTTCTGATACGTACCATACCGTACTTTCTACGTCTTCGAGTGTGACAGTTTCTCTGTGGCCGTTTGTCACAATCTACAGCAGCCCTATCCCAATTGACTCGTTCACTTTTCTCGTTATCGTTTGACCGACTAACCGATGGAATATGCAATACTGTTCCAATTTAACCTCCTCCTGTCCTCCACACCGCGCACGTAGAGCTCTTTTTCTACTGCTACAGTATGTTTCTATAAACAGTGGGTCCGCTCAACCCTCCTGGACAAGCAATTGAGTTCTTTAGTCGAGATTTCTCTCTCGGAGACCCCGACACGCAGCACAATCTGTTCATGAATCTAGAGTATTGACCGCACAACTCGTGATGGTTATCGCAAACCAAGAAACATCGTAGTATTCCCGTGTTATATACACTTACCATCATCGATGTTCCCTCCCATAAGCACACAGTGATCTTCTCTTTCCCCGAGGCATAAACTGTTCCGGGGCGGCAGGGGGGAGAAGGGAACACAAATCCAACTTGCCGGAGGACAAATTTTTGTTCCCATAAACGCCGGTTAAGAGCCGAGTAACCGGCCCAGCCCGTCGAATGATCGGTCGAAAGTGAGTCAGACCCTTTATGAAACGAGGTGGTAGAATCGAGCTCTGGAAAGCGAGGTCTCCCATCGGGAATTATTAGAAAGGAGGTTTTTCTCCCTTCTCCTCTTCCGAGATCTTGGTAATTTCGGACGTTTTTGCTGCGAACGATCAGGGCATTTGAGGGTGGGAAAAGAGTGCTCCGCTTGTGTGCTTGCTGTTGGTCCGTTGAAGTTTTTACGGGCTACACGGGATATTATTCCATTTTGGGCTTGGGTTCTTTTCGGCCCAATAGCGTGCTGGCTTGTGGCATGTTTTGCCTGGCATATTTCTTCGGTTGGTGAGGTGTTGTGTTGGGGGTATTGTTTTTTCGATATTGATATATCATACGAATCGTCTCCCTGAGCAGGAGCTGACTGGGGGAAGGCCTAAAGGAAGATTCGGGGAGAAAAACGGAGTAGAAATCGTCTCATAATACTAGCTCGCTTCTACAGGGGTCCCGCGGGCTACAGCAGCCCATCCTTCCTCCTTGGACGAATCCCGGCATTTCAACACAGAAGTGATAACCCATGATGGAAACCCGCCAAGAGCCATGACTAATTCATGCCGTCTCGCAAACACCCGAATCCCCGTTCCACCATCAACCGGAACTCTACGATAAAAGTCTTTCATCATCGCCGAACACTCCACTCATTCATTCATTCATCCGCCGGGCACAATCATGTTGGCACAATCCCTTCGAGTTTCAGTAACACACTCTCCTCCCTTCCTCTGCCAATGAACAAAGCAATCTAACGCTAATCACCAAACAGCGCACTCCCCTCACCCGCTGTCTGGCCCGCCAACAACAGCCCCTCCGTACTTTTATCGTCCCCACTGCCCCTCGTAAAGGTTCCTTTTTCGCCCCTCACCACCACCACCCCCTCCTTCTGATTGCTAACGAGCTCGTATTGTCTAAAAAGCGGATCTCGTCCAGGAAATGTACATCTCAGCGCTGAAATCCTACAAGCCCGCCGCGGCCAAAGCGACTGATAGCGAAGGCCAGGTAAAGAAGTGGGCTCCTCCAGCCGCCCCACAGAGCCCCGAGGCCGCTGAGGCCTCGCTTGCGCAGGAATTGAAGGCCTACGAGACTCAGGAGGTGGAGATTGAAGGACAGAGCCCTGAGCCTGGGATGGAGGCTCAGGAAGAGGATTGGTTTGAGGAGGAGGCCAACTTTGGCGTTGAGGAGAGCGCTAAACATTAGGTTTAGAGAAGGGGGGGGGTTTTTTTTTGTCTTTTTTTCCTCCTTTCCACCGGGCGGGAATATAGAATTGCTGTATAGTGAGCGCTGGATAAGCGGAATATCAAAATGGAGGGGAACTGTTAACAAAACGGATGAGGATTCGGGTTGGATATTCACACCCCGTGATGATATGTTTCGCTCGAACTGCGTCTAATTGAGTATACTTGGTTGAGATGTTATATTGATATCCGATTTCGTAGTTTTTTCGCAATATGTCCACCCTTTGGGCGCGGGAGTTTAAGATAGAATTGGGAAGTTCTGGTATATACAGGAAACCGACATACTCTACGAGAAAAGAAAGAGACTGTAGAAATCCCTAACTTCTAGCATGGATATGACACTCGGCACAACAACACACCTTATACACTGGTGACACCGGAGCCATGACCTGTGTTGTCCAAGGCCCCTCTGAAGTTGAAAATGCTTTCATGTAGGCCATCCGCTCCATCCCCAGCCCACCTTCAACCCATCCTCAGACAATCTTATCGGCCAGATGCCTCAGAGATACTTCCAGAGGATGAAGGAGTCCGGGGTTGTTTAGAGACTTCGGGACGCGAGGGTGTACTCCAGAAAGATTTCCTCAAATCAGAAACCCAATTACGAATCTGATGGAATTATATGCACATAAGCGTTAGAGGGGACCAAGATCGCCGAGACGCTCACATCGGAGATGGGCTTACGGGTTGAACCGGCCTATTTCCACGCTCCCCCCAGTCATTGATAAATACTCCCCAGAGTAGCACAGCTATTCCACTCAACCAAAACTGTCAGCTACCATATAACTCCCTTGACCGAACAATATGGTGTCATGGCCAAAGCTAGGTAGGAATATTTTTTCAACTAACCGCTGATAATTACTCCCTGCGCCAGGTTGACAGCCTTGTGTAGCCGTGGCCGTGCAAACTTCAACTTCATCCGTCTTCGGTACCGCCGTTCAAGTCGGAATTGGTGCTTTTGGGAGAGAAGCGAGAAGTCGGGAGGCCATGGCTTTTTAGCCTTGTAAACCTTTTGTGTCAAGAGGGCTCTTGTCGGAAACATGGTGGTGTTTGTCCGTCAAATAATTTATTTGGGTGTTTTGACCGTTGGAGATCCGATATTGGATCATTGTTTGATCAGATAAGTGGGCTGCATCTGGTAGGCCAAAGTTGTTTATGATGCTACTGGACAATGGCTTTGTTGTGACAAAAACTATATACTATGCAGCCGCCGTCTCGGTGCGAGGAGACCCTGCGCTGTTTCATTACGTACTTTCCGTCTTCCTGATTCTCACCATCTAATCGCTTGGCTCTGCGACGTAGCTCTCTCTGCATCAACAACTTTGGGCAACAAAATTCGCTTCCCTCTCCAATCCACGAACTCCCATCCACCACGGACGAACAACAATCATGTCAAATTTACATGCTGTCTCACAGCCTCGGCGAGCACCTCCCGGCACTGCCGCAGCCAACGGTAACAATGCGTCTCCCGTGAGCGCTGCGTCGGCTACGTCTCAATCGGATATCCCAAATGCTTCGCTAATCCAACTATCCCCCCGCGTGTCCAGATCGCCAGCACGATCCCTCAAGGAGGAGGAGGAGGAGGAGGAAAAACGTTGCTGGATTTGTTACACTAGCGAGGCAGAGGAGGAGCTACCAAAAAGCGATTGGAAATCGCCATGCAAATGCACTCTCGTGGCTCACGAGTCGTGTTTGCTTGAATGGATTGCGGATCTTCAACGACCCGAGAACAGCAATCCTGGGGGTAAAATTGCTTGTCCCCAGTGCAAAACCCAGATCATGCTTAAGGAACAGAGAAGCCTTGTGTTGGACACCGTTGAGGGGGTTACGAGGGTTGTTGGAAGGGCCGTTCCTGTTCTATTACTTGCTGGTTTGTGCACTGGAAATCGGTTCTGGGTTTGTTTGGGAACAATTGTGCTAACAAAATGCATAGGTGTTGGTTCCGTGGTGTTTGTTGGGTGCACGGTTTATGGTGATATATCTTGGATCCCGTTAATTGAGTCGTGCAATCGCTAACACCCTGCAGGCGTCAACACAATATATGCTGTTTGCGGCCCGGCATATGCAAACCAGATCCTACTCGGAAGGAATTCCGAATTCGCTTGGACGTGGCGTATGTCTATCTTTTATTTACCGTGATATACACAACCTAATGCGACTTAACTAACGCGGGATAAAAATAGGTCTCGGCATCGGTCTTCCTCTTATCCCATTCGTGCTCGTAGCATCTCGTACCCGCACTTTCGAATCCGCTCTTCCGGTTCTCCCTTTAATCTTCTTCTGTCATTCCGACCCACTTTACTTGTCGTTTCCACCATCACCAGCTATCACTCTAGCAGTGTTACCCTACTTAAGGGGAGCGTATAATAGTCTTTGGAGTCGTTTCATAAGTCCTTATGAAGATCGTTGGATCAAGGATGTCACCCCGGCTTATGCCCTAGAAAATGCTGAGAACCGGCAGGCGGCCAACCAGAACATCAATAATCAAAGAAGGCAGGAGAACGTTAACGGCCAACAAGGGAATCGGCAGGCGGGAGAGAACGGAGAATTTGGCGCGGAGGCTGCCGTAAACGGCAATAGGTGGGATGGAGAGGTCCACCTTGAGAACCACAACATCATCATCCAGGGAAGCAACATCACAAATATGATCCTGGGGGCACTACTTTGGCCAAGCGTTGCAAGGATGGTAGGGGAGAACGTTCTTGGGAAGTGGCCCAAAGCCTGGGGAGGTGACGTTGTAAGGAAGCTGCTTCCGGAGGGTGTCGTGAGAAATGTTGTTGGTGGGCTTATGGCCGTGGTGCTAAAGGTATGTCATGCTTTGCTTTTCGTTGCATCGGTTTCGGGATCCTGCGCAGTTCTGCTTCCGGGTGTTGGTTTCCCGAATGTTGGTACCCGGTTCACTGGGAGGAAGGAAATCCACACCCTCGGTGCAGCACGAACCGCGACTGTGGGCAACCGGTTGTGTTTTTTTTCTTTTCCCGTGCCGCCAAGAGTCGATGACGAGTGATAGAACACTTATCGTGTTATACGTTCCATCACTTCAATTTCCCCAACTGCTTCTTTCCATGATCACCCTATTTTGCTTTTTCTACGCCCTCCCTTCCCGTTGGACCCTTTGGAGCCCACATGACACAAGACCGCAAGGTGCTAAAAGCTGTTTTTGTTTTACTGATGAGGCGTGTTCAATCTAGGACTTTATCTCCTTGTACTGCAAGTACAAACGTGCTCAGCAATTCCGGACCAGAAAGGTTATGGATTACAGCGATGTGAAAAAGGAAAAAGAGCAAGAGAAGGACAAGGAGAGGGCCAGAGCTGCGGCAGCCACTGGTTCGAGTAGAAGGTAGTGGTTACGGTGATAGGCGCGCAGTCCGCAGCCTTTCTCACGAGTTATCCATCTACTTCATGTATTGCATAAAGAGGGCAACCCTTTTTCTATTACCGGCAGCCCTCCTCTCCCTTTTCTTTGTTTTCTGTTGGTGATCTTCAGCTTGCTGTCTTACGGCGCTGTTGGAACTATGCGCACGATTGCCTTGGTGGTGGATACCAGTTACCGGTATCACGGTTCTCATTTACTTCTATCATAGTTAAACTTTCCTTTCCTTTCCTCTTTCCTGTGCCCACTCATCGAATGTCTCTCATCTCCCTCTTTCTATTATACCGGTATCTGATCCCCTCCACAGCATGGATGGATGGGTGGAGCACTCTTGTTTCATTTCATTCCCAACCCTTTCTTTCTTTCCTTCCTCGGACCGGGAGTTGTTTGATTGCAATCCATATTCCTTTGTTTTATTTTCTTCCTTTTATTTATCATTAAAATAAGGATAGTAGGAAATTATGTAATGTAAAACGAAATGGGACATGCGCATGAAAACCACGAGGGTTCTTTTTATATCACAATTCATTGGGCATGCTGCTGCTGAACTTTCCAGCCTAGCGAAAGCAAAGGGAGATCAGGCTCAGCTGAAGAGACTTGCGCAGTTAGTGTGTCGAGACGCTGTAGGCTGTGCTGGGCCAAGGCGGGGGGGACGTATGATAATTTATTTTTTCTTCTTTGTTCACCCTTTAGTTTCGGCGCTGGGCAAGTCGTCGTACTCTAGCGGTACAGAGGATTAAGCATTCGTTCGGCCAGGCGAGCGTATTTTTGGAGACGATGACAAGTTACAGCAAAGTACTGTACTGTACTCGTACTTGTATGATACCGTAAATTACATGTTTCCGAACCCCGAATTACTGTATGATACTCGAAGCCTCTTTTCTTGTTTTTGTTTTGTTTTTTATCGCCAGCACCGCCATCAAAGCAACACCACCACAACCAACCAAAACCCATTCTTTCAAGAAACGCAAGCAATAATTTAACCCGGAACCATCACCATTAACCGGTAACCGGTAACCGGTAAAACAAGTAGACTAACCTTACGGTTCCAGCGTAACCCCCCACCAAACATATAGCTATCAGGAAGGAAGTAATTTATGAATGAAACATTTTCGCGTCCGCTTTCCCCCGCCGGAGGCTAACTTGCGAGATGCCGTTTGAAAAAATTTGTTGGTAGCGAGTAAGGTATATATTTTGTTTTTGTTTTCGGGTTCGGCGAAATATGATTGTATACGAGTAGATCGGTATTAACTTATCGGATTTGAAAAGTTGGGATGGAATTACCGAATTTGGGAGTGAAAAATTCCCGACGGGATGGTTATCGTACTCGTACTGTACGATATACGGTACTTGTATTTCACCCACCCAACTTTTTTTTTCTCGTTTCGTTGGATTTTTTTTTTTTTTTTTTTTTTTCCCCACTATAGTGGTTAACTTATGATACTTGTTGGAGGAGTTTTGAACGAACTCACGATAACTTGCCGTGGGCTTGACTGACTAACTATAGTACTCACTAACAATTTGTTTTTTTTTTTTTCTTCTCATTCATCCATCCATCCAGCTGACCCGAAGTATCGGTAACCCGTTCCAACCGGAAAACTGAAACTGAAGTGCGGGTTGGGTTGGGTGGGTGCGTTAGTTGTTGCTACGATAACTTGTACGGGTTTTTATGATATCGGGGTTGAGGCTTTCAAACTTGTTTTTGTTGGACTTGCCGGATTAGGCGTTGTCTCTCTCTGTTTGTTGGAGATTCTTTTTGATTTACCGTATCTCTCTACCCGTACCGTACCAGCTATGTGTGATGTTGCGATGGCGATTATGGACCACATAATGCTATATGTGGTCTTTCTGTAAGGAATGGGGGGGGAGACGGTGAGTGTTGGGATGTTGGCTTTGTACGGTAGCGGCGCTGTATGATGGACTAGGAAAGTAAGTACCGTACGAGTGCAACTATTCAACTAGCTGGGTATCTCCGAAATAGATATTTCTGATTATCCTCAAACTTGCCTGTCTGCTCGGCGCGAAAAAAGGGATGAGTAGGGTACGGTACGGGTTATCGTGTCCGATAACTTGGCTTGATTTTGGCTGAATGTGTTGTGGTGATGTGGCATAGCTGTTGCCCAATGTTAGCTATGATATAAGACAGATGGGATGAACTGGCCGTGGATAGTGGTACCTGTATAGTTCACCTGAAACTTGTGTCTTGTGGATCGCCGGCGATTGTACGAGTATACTCTCCTCTCCCCCTCATGCGGTAGGTACCAGTAATGGGAACTGCGGCTTAGGTCCATATCATTCGTACAATCATCGTGCAGTTGAGGGCTGAATATCGGGTACGGTAATCATACTGCACGGAACTGCAATGAGAGTGGGAGTGAACTTCTGGACCTTTTTTTTTTATCAAAAAAAAAAAAAAAGTGCTGCTGCCTATGGGTATGTATGATACCGTGCTAGGTATGTAGCTACCTGGCTACCTAGCTAGCTAACCTATGCAACCGTAACTCTTCAATGATAATTCGCCACCCTCTTTCCTTTTTTTCCTCTCCGAGCATGAATTTGTTTGTTTCAAGTCCCCGCCAGCGAATGAGGAACCCGGGTAATCATTTCTATCTATCATAGATATCGATAACCTGATAAACATCCTACAGTAATTCCCGTGACCAGAGTGTTTATGCGGAGATGATCAAACGAAAGAAAAAAAAACCTTTGGTTAGCTAGTTAGTCACCGCATCTCGCCTGCTACCGCACGTAAAAACAAATCATGCACACCCGTCGTGGGTCCCGCGAGGCATCATCATCCCAGCAGGCAGTTCCATTCAATCAGTCAGTCAAATTCCAGCAGCATCTCACAATAACGTGATCAGCCGTTGCACAAGGTTATCATACCATCATGGCCGTGACCGCCTCCCTTTGCACTTTTCATAATAAAAAAAAAACATCACGTCGTCGTCGAGCGGAGCGAGTGAGTAAGTCCTCGCGTGTAACTGTAAACTTTGGGGGGGGGGGGGAATCGGGCCGACCGGCCGGAACAATTAAATTATATCCGACGACGATGTACAGTATGAATGATATATACCCACCCCGTGACGCACCCAAATTGTTTCTCTCAAGATCTCGAGCGTTGCTGTGTGAGTCGGAAGCGCGGGGTTGAGGAGGAGGAGGAGGAGGGGGGGGGGGTTGATCAGATCAGATCTGGGCTCCTCCTCGTGCCGCTGCTTCTATCATAACTCGATCATTGCTTTGCTAAAATGTATTACTGTAAGCACCACCACCAGCGCGAGTGGAGCGGCGGACAATACGGTATGTACTCGAGTAAGCCTAAACCGGGGGGGCAAAACTTACAGTAACGCAGATGATTGATTTCCCATCGATACAGTAGGCAGCCCATCGTACAATTATCGTCTCCGCCCTTCCCTTCCTGATCGGCTCGCATGAGGAGTTGTCAATCTGGTTTTTTTTTTTTTGCTTCTAGAACTCGTGGGTTGGACGAAGCGGAGCTACCGGTAGGTTGTACAGTGCTCGAGTGAGGTACGGGGAGGGGAAGCGGGGCGGAAAAGGGTATCATACAAGGACCATGAGATGCTCAGCGAGTAATAATAAAGTTAATGATATGATACTTGTACAAGTAATTCCGGTTCAGCCCAGTCTGCCCTGGCCGCCGCCGGCCTGTGCTGTACTCGTACTGTATACTGTGCTGTGCTCGAGTATCATCCTGTGCGGGTTTTCCCCGTCCAGCCGTGAAAAAAATATCAATCCATCGAATTTCTGCAGCTTCATCGTCATCTTCATCTTACCTGATGAGAAAGGGAGAAGCGGGGGCAGGGGAAGACCAATCTTCGTCACACCATGAAAAATAATTTACAACCCGTAATGACTACTTCACTTCTCCTACAGGTATCATACCTCCCAAAGGTTGAGTGAGGGTTTTTTTCTTCTTCTTTTTTTTTCCGTTTTGTTTGGAAAAAAGGAATGGTATAAGATGAGGGAGATGGAGATGGATAGATGGGTCACAGATAGCCTAGGCAGATGCAAGGGACATCATCGCGTGCTGGTTCTCCTCGAGTAACTTCTGATTGGTCACCCCTCACCATCAATCGGCTTGTTCACATCGCTCGAATGGATGATCGAGAAGAAAAAAAGAAAGCCTACTCGTACTCGAGTACATAGTTTCCAGTGGACCGTTTCCGACAGTTAGCCCATGTCGATCACGAGGTCATTGGTTACCCGATTGTTTCCCCATTACCCCCTTCAGCGCAAAGTGAAAAACACACTCTTTTGTTTCCCCCCTTCCTGTATCCCGCATGCAAAAATAAATCCGTGAATTATCCAAGCATGACAAGGATTTGCACTCTTCGGGGGGGGGGGGTTGAATCATGAAAAAGAAAATTAAAAATTAAAAAAAAAAAAAAAAAAACCTCCACGAAGAAAAAAAAAAAGCGAAGCATTCGATGTCCCAACGTTTCTGGATATTTGGATCACAGCTGCATTAGGCATCCTCAACCTTAAACCTAGTCGACAACCAACCAACATCAAGAATTTTCTCCAAGCCAAGCACAGTAAGAAGAACAGCAAATCCTTCCTTTCCCCCCCATTACCCCTCGCATCCCGCCAACGATGCGATACGATACTCGAGTACGATAGTACTCGTCGTACCTGTCCTCGCACCGTCCTATCAAATCACAAGAACAGTGCAATCCAAAAAGCAAATAAAAACCATCCCAATCGAGATCCGGAACCTTGTCTAAGGATAGAACTGTGCGGAGCGAAACATCAAAAAAGATGTATAGCGCGGTGGGGCGGGGCCGTATTGCGCCTCTCGCGTCACCGCCCGCTCTCGGTACCTGAAAATTGTGGCGAACTTTAGCAGCAGAGGTGGAGCTACAGTCCGAGGAGGTCTGGATCCCCCGCCGCCCACGCACCACACACATGCACTCCACCTCCCTCGCTAAAGCTGTTCACGGGCCAATAATTTCTAGCGTACCGGTACGAAGTAGTGTGTATTTATGTCGTTTGAAATCGGAATCGGGTCGAATCAAATCAAAGTTGCTTTTTTTCTTCCTCCCCCTTTTTTTCTCACCCGCCTGGGCCTCGGTTGCGGTTGCGGTGGCGGTGGATGATATGATTGGCATAAGCCACCTTGAAAATTAAAAATCCTCCGGGAGTGTCGTGGTTTTGAGGCTTGTGGGTTTTTTGTCACCGCCGTCAGGACTCGAGCTACCGCTCCTGCCAATGATGGTAAGGTTACCAACCGACTTGGGGTAAATCCAACGGATGGCAAAAACGCTGCCACCATTGTTTACCGGTGCTGGTGATGATGAATGAATCAATCGAGGTGAGTGAGTGAGTGAATGGGGGTGTGGCTTACAAGTGAGTAACTCGAGTAAGCTATCATGCGATCGGGGTCGGGACCGGATGAACTGAACGGTTGACTTGAGCAAACTCCCACCCGGCATGACCGACTGACTACCACTACCGGTGCTATTCGAGTACCGATAGACTAT